AGTATATATCTGATACCTAAACCTGTAGATTGGAATTGTGACATAACAAAAACTTATTTTATCATCTTACTAGAAAAGCTTTGTAAAAATTACTAATCACCTTTCTCAAATACTTGCTAAATATAATATATTAAAAGAAAATAATTACGCTAGTCTTCCTAGAGTAGAGGTCAGCTTCAGTGAAATCTGATCAATCTGTCATTTGATCTAGTCAAATTTCAGATCATCCAGATTTCTATTCATCAGATTTCAGATTATCCAGTATAATTTAGTCAATTTTCATAATTATGGCTGAAATTATAAATTTTGGATGAAATTATAAAAATTACAAAAAATCATATGATTTTTAATTTTTATACACGTGAGTATATCAATTAATTTCCTTTTTCAATGATAGCTATTTCACAAAAAATATTTTCTATTTTAAATTTCCATATTTTTTACGTTTTATGCAATCATAACACTGATTATTTCCTTTTTTAGTAATTGCTATTTCACAAAAAATTCCTGTTTTTTGATTTCTGCAGTTCTTCTCTCTGTATAATCTGTGTAATTTAGTTTCTAAAAATGGCAATGATCAGAGGCCTCGTATTTTGAAATATGTTATCAGATTGATCAGAAAATCTGGTTTCTATCTGATCAATTCTGTGATATAAACAGATCAATCTGAATCTGATCAAATTTTAAATGAATGATTAGATATCCAGATTGATTAGATTCAAAGTATACCTTTATTATATGTAATAAAAGTTCTTAAAATAAAATTATTATTTTCTTTTGTAATATATCATTTATTAAATAATTATTTCATGTGATATTTTATTAGCTATTTTTAGATATGATTTTTATATTTATTTAAACTTTGTTTATGTTAATTAATTTTTATACTAAATTTATCATAACTTATATTATATAATAATAACATTAAACTATTATAATAACTTTATAAAAATAAAAAACTTGTAATGCTAAAGCTTTACATAAAATAACTTTTATTTTATTCTCTACTATATATGATTATATTAAAAAACTAAAAAAAAGTAGTTTTATAAAGATTTATCTTAATCCTAAAGGCTAAGAAAGCTTTTTCAAGAAAACATCATCATCTTAAAAACAAAATGCATTCTAATCTTAATATATCTAAAAAGGTTGGAATTCTAAAATTTATTCCTTTATTTATAGAATTTTATAAACAGTATTATGTAAAATTTGCAATAAAATACTAAAAACAAAATTAAAACTAAGTTATCTTTTTGATAAGTCACATTTCAGATATTTTAAAATATCTAAAAAGTATTTTATAAGACTTGTTTACTACTTCACAGAAACCTATAGTTAAACATTTGTACAAAGTTTATGTATAAAGTATATTTTCAACTAAAGATCAAGTTAGATTTCTTTTTTTTACTAAAATGATAGACAGGATATTTTATCAAAAAATTTTAAATAAAAAGTTTTTTGAAAATGCAAAATATATAATAAAAAGGTATTAGATCTTTTAATAAGATAATAATCCTAAACACTTAGCTAAGAAAACTAAAAACTTCTTTTTAAATAATATCTAAAATTGTTAGATTAGTTATTAAATAGCCTGAGTTTAAATCTAATTAAAAATTTGTGGTTAATTTTGAAGGAATGTATAAAGAAAGAAGTTAACAATCTTATAATTAATAAAAATTAATTATTATAGATATTTTTATTAAAACTCTGAACAATTTAGATTAATCTAAAATTTTTAGTTCAGATCAACTTCAGTTTAATTTTAAATTAGCATTTTTAAGATTAATAATCTAAACTGAATTAAATTAAATTTTCAGTTCAATTGAATCATTTAGAGTATTAATTTTTATTGATATAATTAAAATAAAGTGAAAAGAAATTAAGCCTAAAATTCTTCTTAATTTAATTTGTAGCATGCCAAAATTAATTAAATTTAATAATAAAAATCTAATATAAATTTGCAAAAAATATAATAAAAATATTATTAAAATCTACTGATTAATTTCTTATTATAAAAAAATAAAAAAACAATAATATAATAATAAAAATATGATTTATAAAAATATGATTTATTTTTTCCAAAAATCTTTTAAAATCATCTTAAATATTTATTATAATAACATTATTATTATTAAAAAAAAGAATAAAATAATAAAAATATAATTCATTTTTTTTTTCAAAATTATTAAAAAACATAGTAAGTAATAAATAAAATATTAAAAAAATAAAAAAAATCTACCTATTCTTATCAAATCACTTGAAATTCATTTTTTTTCATTATAAAAGTAAAAAAATCAGTTTATTATTTAAAAGTTGACTAAAATTTAACTTAAGTTTTAGCTTTTTTCTTAATAGTTAAAAGCAATTTTATAGTTTTGCTTTTATTATAAAAGTAAAAAAAATCAGTTTATTATTTAAAAGTCTACTAAAATTTAATTTAAATTTTAGCTTTTTTTTCATCTAATTTTAATAGTTTAATTGATAAAATTTAACTTAAGTCCTTTTGTTCTTAAAATATTTTTTTTTTTAATATTTTAATGGTAATAAAAAGAGAAAATTTGAAAATGATTATAAAAAGATAAAATTTGAAATGAAATTATTTTTTAAAAAGTAAAAAGTTAACATCAATATTAAAAAACTTGTAATAGTATAAATTATGATAAAACTAATATGTATTATTTGTATAATATCTATTATTATACTGTTATATAATTAATTTAATAATAATTATTTTATAAACTATTTTATATTATTTAAACAATATTATATAACTATTATAAAGCTTATTTATATAAATATTTCTATATATACTAAAAATAAACTCAAATAATATATATTAGATATTATATTAAATCAATATAAGATTTAAAATAAATCAAAAATAATTTATTAAAATGATTTATAATAACAATATCAATAAAATTGTATTTTATTTATCATTTAATTAAAATGATATAATCATTTTAATCAAACAATTTTTTAATTACTATTTGATTGGTATAATTGTATAATTAATAATTCTAATTAAATAATTTTATATTTATTATTAATATAATCATTCAATCAAATGATTTTTAGTTTTTTATTTAATTAGAATAATATAATCATTTTAATCAAATAATTTTTTCTTATTATTTAATTAAAAAGTGAAGAAATTATCATTTTAACTGAATAATATAAATATCTTTCAATTAGAAAGATTCAAAATCATTATTCTAAATATATAATTTAAACTGAATTGAATTATTTAAAACATTAATTTAGTTATTAATTTTACAAAATATCAGTTATATTTTTTTCTAAATTTTATTTTATCTTGATATATTTTAACTGATTTTTAATATATGTCAATCAGATGTCAATTGGATGTTAATTAACTATAAATAAAATAAGTTAAATTTAACTAATTTTAATATATATCAATTTGTTATAAATATACTAATCAGCTATAAATAAAATAGGTTGAATTTTAACTAATTTTTGACCAATTTTTGATGTATATCAATTGGCTAGGCTGATTTTAATAATTGATAAGTTTAAGCTAATTTTAAGCTGTTTTTTTACATATCTAATTTTTTTTGATTTTAACTAGTTTAATTTTATTAAAATTTTATTAAAGTTTTAATATATTTTATTATTTTAATATAATATTATCTTTTTTTAAATTTTATAGAATTTTTATTAAAATTTTTAATATAATTTTTACTTCAGTATAAATTAATAAACTACTAATTAAATTGTATTTTAACAGATAAACTAAATTTTAACAAATATAATTATTTTATTTAAATGTTAAATTAACGTAATTAATTTTGATATCATCAAAATTAATTAGTATCAAAATATAATAATTTTATTAAATATCTTAAAATTTTAAATTTTATCTAATATTAATAATAAGTAATAATAATTTTAATTAAAATAAATTTTTTATTCAGATAAGTTTTTTAAATATATTTAAAGTTTATAGTCTTTATTAAATAAGATTTTTAGATAATATAATATATAAATTATATAAGATTTTATTAAAATTAAATAATTATCTCTATATTTATAAAGTTAATGTTAATATTAGTTATAAATAAATAAAATATTCTTTAATCATAATATCTAAAAAAAAAAATTAAACTTATATAAAGATTATAAATAAGAGATAAATTCTTTAATAATAATTTAATTTTGATAAAATTATATTAAATTATAATAAAATATATATAAAATAATTAATTATTTTTTTTTTTTATATACAGTTATATTATTATATAATAAATATTAAATATTAATATTATTTTATTATTTTAAAAATATTTCTTATTTACTTTTATATTTTAGTATTTTAAATTTAAGATTATTAATTTACTTATTCTTTTTAAAAGCTTAATATAGATAAAATGTTTAAAATATTTATAATTTAAATTGAATTTATAAAGTAATTTATAATTTTAAAATTGTTTTTTTTATTAAAATGTTAAAATATAAATTTTTATTAAAAAAAATATATTAATGATTTATAATTTATTTATAATATAATTAATAAAAAAAAAATAATACTTTTAAGTTATATAGTAATTTTATCTTATATTTTATTTTATAAAAAAAAAAAAAAAAAATCAATATTAATATAAATAAAAATAATATTAGCTTTTAATTTATCAAATAAAAGTTGAATAATATAATATTAAAACTTATTTTATTTGATCAATTAATCATAATTGTTATAATTTTTATTAATATTATGATTTAGATGGCAGATAAAACAAAATTACCAATGGTAATTATCTTTAATTTGCAAATATTTGTGTATAGAATTTTTGAATAAAGTAGTTATTTATATTAATGAAATGATGAAAATGAGATAATAATTATATAATATAAATAAAACAATTGTGATTATAAAAATTATTCTATATACTGTAAGAAAATATTTACATAAATAACAACAAATTTACAATAAACTCTCAAAATTATTCAAAACATCGAAATTGATTCTTATTTTGAAGTTATTCCGGAGATGAAAATTCCTCAGAAAAATGATTAAATAAAATACATTGTGTTGTCTAAAAATAGAAATAAAAGTGAATCAATAAATCTAATTATAAAATAATTTAATGAGTTTTGTTACCTTTGGCTAAACTTTCTTTAACTTCTTTTAATACAAATTCGGGCTCTCCACGTGGCTGTTGTTCAAGATGCAACCTACATATCAACACAATTACTTAAAGTTATGATACTTAATTATCTTTTATAGATTGTAAAAACTTACCGAGCTCGTTTAGCTGCCAAATGTGCGTAATCTACGAGAGAGTGAGTGATTTAAAAAAGGTAATTAAAGAGTTGTACTCTGAATTTTACATCAATAATACTTACAAGCTGCTGGTGCAATGGAAACTGAACGGGTAGCACTAAATTGCAGTGAAAATAATAATAAATATATAATTAAGAATGATTGAAAAAATAATCGATACTTCTAAACATACCGTTGATAATTATAACAAAGCTTATGTGTTAAATTTTGCAGTTTATCGGCTGTGAATTTATTTTCATCAAAAAGGACATGATCTTTTAAGTTAAATAAATTAAGTTAGAAGCGATACTTAACCTTAACAATTTTAAGTTAAAATAAATAAAATAAATACAATGGGCTGGACGAGAAGTTCCGTGTAAACTTGTATGTGATTGTAAGACTAAAATTATATAAATTTATGAGTTACAAAATAATGATAGAAGGCTATTGTACAAATAAAATGAAATTACTTACAGAAATCAAATAAATATGGATGCGTTATTCTACTGTCTACAACAGTGCCAGCTACACAATTTCCTTTGCTAAATATAAAAAAATATAAATAAAATGAAATATTATTTACTAAATTTAATTAGAATTTACCTATCAGCATCACGGACTTGTTGTGGATAAAATCGAGTGTGATGTCGTTTGCCTACAACCACAAAGGTGATCGGAGGATTATAGTTCTTTTCAAGTTCAATACAAGCCTCTTTTTTTTTTTATTTTTTTTAAAAAAAAGTAGTTATATAATAAGATTCATGTGAAATCAGTTCATTAATGCGTTATAAGCTTCTTTACCTTTGATTTTTTCAAGTTCATGAGTCAAAACCATCTCAAATTGGCTTTCTGATACACCATCACGATACATGATCATTCCTTGAGGCAAAATATTATTCTTTGCACGGTAATCTTTCAAAATTTCTTTAACCATGCCACCCATATTTTCGATTTTTTCTTGTCTTGTTTTTTGACTTTCAAGCTTGGAGATGAATCGTCCACCTTGACGGTCAAGAGAACCAACAACTGCGCAGATTGAAGGTATACTCGAAGGTCCGGCGCGTCCACCGGTAGGGTGAGTAACATCTGCACCAAGCAACATAACCGGCCCTTTTGATAATTCGGGAATTTCGGTTTCCTCAATAGATTGATTCGTCCCTCCAAGCTTCAAATTAATTTTGAGTGCTACATTTGCACAATATTGTTTGCTTTTTTTTTGCACCTTCTCAAGTTGAACACATTGCGAAGGAACACCAAGAATGGTGTCGGTAGTATATTTTATGGCTCTGTAACGCTTTTCATCATCATCTGGAAGAATAAAAAGCATAAGCTGCAAATCATTTTGAAAATGAGTTTCAGCATTTTCATACTCTTGCTCAATCATTCGTTGGTAAGTTTGCGCATCACCGTGAGGCCTGATATAATTAACTCTAGGGTTGCCTTCCGCAATATCCTTATTTTGAGAAATGATAATTTAATTATAATTTCCATGATAAAATATTAATTTATATTATATTAATTACCAATCCTTGTTGTCGACTAGTAATGACAAGTTCTTTCACAAATTGCTTCGCTTTGCTAAGAGTTAATCTTCGTTGATCAATAAACGCGACTACAACCCAATAACGAAGAGTATCTCCACTTCGTACAAATTTACGGTCTTTTAAATTCCAGCCACCTTCCCTAGGTTTAACAGTTCCACCCGCTCTGGAAGAGGAGTGATATGAAATTTGCGGTGCTCTTAAGACGCGAGCTTTACAAAAGTGGAAAAAAATATAAATATAACTTTAATGTTAACAAACATTCGAATGTAAATATCACTAACCAGGAATAACCGCCATTTGTTCCTCAACAACCATCCCAAAGCTATTTAATTTAAAATCTTTTCCAAACTGTAAAACATTTTGAATGCCTTCATTAATTCGTTTTACATTTTCTTGAGGTGATAAAGCGGTATGTTTAATCATTGTTCCTCTTTGGGCACTTGTTAATTTTGCAACGGGGAATCGTTGTCCCTAAAATATAAAGTATTATTTAGAATGTCCTTTAACAATATATGTAAGAATGTATAAAATACCTCAATAACATTGCAAAGTTCTATTGGAACTTTATCGTTTCGACGCCCTTCAAGTTCAACAAGGTGTAAATAACGTAAAGTAATATTATAGCGACGTTGAAAATACGTATAAATATTAATTTTCTCGCTAGATTCTGGCATATCAATTATAACATCATAGGCATTTTTTGGACAAAGCCTTTTGATTTTAAACCTGGTTTCAATTTGAGGACGATGAATAGATTTAAATTGTAAACCACGTATGAGCTCAGTTACTCTATCGTTTTCTTGTTGGTTAAAACGATCTGGAATGACACCCGATTGGAGATTGAGATATTTTGTAATCAAATTTGAAAGTATACCAGGTTCATAAAATACGGTATAAGTTGTATTGACGTTAACGAAATAACTATCTGGATAAAAGGTCAAGACAATTAATTAAGCATGCAAAATTTTCAAAACTAAATATTTTAAGATAAGTATTACCTTGACCAGGCCTTACACTTTCAAACCACCCCATCCATAGTTCTACACCTCCTCCCAACGGCTTACGAGTTGAAGGCAAATAAGTAGATTCGCCAAATTGAGTATATTTCATTGATGGAATATGATGAATGAGAGCATTTAATCCTCTTATGCCAGCTATATATTTGTTAGTAAAATTAATAAAAGATCTTTTTGTTTTAAAAAAAAAA